CGAAGACCTACGATCAGAGCTTCGTATTCGGCTTCGTTTTTGGAGGCGCTAAATTCTAAGCAGAAGCATTGTTCGAGAAGCTCTCTGGTGAGGGATTCTAACAGGATGCCAATTCCAGCTCCTAATCGGGAAGATGCTCTATCGACGTGCAGTGTCCACATTTCTGAATTTGTCGGGTCGTCATTCAAGAGTTCAGGTGATAGTTCGATCAAAAAGTCTGCCCAAACTTGGGATTTTGCAAAAGTCCGTTCGATATTCGATATCGAACTCAGATAGCTCGATGGCCCACTTCGCCATGCGTCCGGATTGTGTCGGACTGTGTAAGATCGACCGAAGAGGTTGGCTGGTCAGAATGGCTATAGAGTGTGACTGGAAGTAAGGACGCAGCTTCTTTAAAGCGACGACAACCGCAAGAGCGAGCTTCTCTCAGGTGGGATAACGAGTCTCGGCACCGTCCAAAGTTTTACAGAAGTAGAAGATCGGCTTCTGCTCTCCGCAATCCTCCCGGACAAGAACGCCGCTGATTGCCGCACTGGAAACCGCTATGTAAAGTAGTAAGGTGTCGCTCGTGTTCAGGTTTGGCCAGGATCGGAGGTGTTGTGAGATATGTCTTGAGTTGCAGGAATGCATCTTCACACTTTTCGTCCCACTCGAATTGCTTGTTGCCTTGTAGAAGCTGGTAGAAGGGCAGACACTTATCCGTAGACCGAGATATTAATCGATTCAACACGGCTATCCTCCCTGTTAGATGCTTAACTTCGCGAGTATTTCTTGGCGAGGATAGTTCTAGGATCGCAAAAATCTGTTTGGGATTGGCTTCGATCCTGTGCTGTGTGACTGTATTTCTAAAACATTTTGTATCTGAATGGTTTTAGAATCCACTTTTGTTTGCTGACTTTTACCTAAACAACAAATATACTTACCATCAGAACTGAAACATGAAAACTACGTATCAAAATGGTTTTAGTGTCCAAGTGAAGGAGGCAATAACCCAAGTTCGATTTCTTCCAAATGGTTTCTTTTTAGCTATGATCTCTCGCTCTCTTTTCTATTTTTCGATCCATCAAAAGTGTTTTATCTACCGTCCAATTAAAGACTCATGAACGGCTACGATCTCTAGGAGAAATGGCACAAAACACGCTGACTAAGACCATCTTTATAGAATCTCTTGAAATTAAAAAAATAAAAAGTAATCAAAGAGAGAAAAGAGAGAGACCGTTTCTTTTTAACGAGAAATTTTAGAGATCGATTCTCATTTTTTAGATAATGTATCAATATTTCATTTGTTCAATTCTTTTGTTTAAAAATTATTTTTATTTTTCAATTATATTAATAAAAAATTATCTAGAAACTCTGGGTTTATTGTTGGAGTTGTATAGATCTGTGTAAATCTTTGTATCTCTAAAATCTCCTTCTCCATGAAAGAAAAAACATTAATCGGTTAGGGTTTAGCTACAAGTTGATACCGGAAGAAGAAAATTCAAGAAAATGGCAATCGTATACCCTGTGGTCATGATTGCAACCCTGTATAGTCTGCTGCGTTTTGATTTTCTAAGAGGCAAATATGAGATCTTCGATGTCGAAAGTAACCTTTGAGATGTCGAAAGTAACCTTCCGTTAGATGATGGGCGTGTTGGCTGCAATGATTGCATCTTGTTATGCGATTAGCCTCAACGTCGTTGCTTACTACATGGCCATTGGTTCACCCGAGAGGGTCTTCCAACGTCGTTGTTCTACAGTGTCTTATCATTGCTCTTTTTCTCTGTCAACCTCTTTGAATTCTGGAGAATTCTACGGCTTCCAATATCTCCTCCAATTGCGATTACCTTTCTGGGTCTGCAAACGTGGACATGGGTTTTTTTTTTTTAATTTTGTGTGATACTAGATATATACTCACTCTACTTTGCAGATTATTTTTTAATTATCTTTTTATTAATTTAATACTATACATTGATAAAATAAAAATATATTAATATAAATATTATATGCATATATTAAGAAATATATAAATATATATATATAAAATTCTGTTTTAATTGCATTTTGTGTCATAATCATTATTTATCTAATTTTTATTAGAAATGGATGTACGACAACATATACAGTGGAACATGCTTATGTATAATTTTTCAACTATAGCAATTAGCATAAAATTTATTTAAATATTTCTGATTCAAAATTAATTACACACTTATTCCTTATAGTTAAAGAAGTTATGTGCTCTCAACTAAATAAACTCATAAATCCACTCCTAATTTAAATTATTATGAAGCTGGTTTTCCAAGTTATGAGTATTGGTGGCCACAAAGCGCAAGACTGCACCTTACCAAATCTCTTCCCACCAAGAACATAATTCACGGTATAATCCTTATTGTCTTAAACTGGCATCCCTCTAATTTGATACAAAAATTCACTCAAATGACATCCTACTTTAATTCATCATAGTTTCATATTTTCTAACTTAAAAAATGATTGCTCACCTATCTAATTATTTTTCTCTAAAACATGTTCAAAGTATCTTATGATCTACCATTTCTTGATTAGAGACTTTGTGAACATGTAGGCATATGAATATTATTTAGAATAGTGTTTCAAACTTTAAAGTTTTGAAGCTTAATATTAAAACCATCTTAACGTTAATTTATGCCACATCATTTAGTTTTTTTGTGTAAATGTGATTTTTCTTGAAAAAATATTTGTATTAGATTTTTGTTGTGGTTAAAGGGACATAAATGGTTGTAATGGTGAGTTGAGGTCGAATTAAAACACTAATAGACACTTGGATGGTGTAAAATCATATTGAAGGTTTGAATATAAAATGTCAAGATTGAAATTAACTCTCATATATATTCATTTTAAACGGAAAATACCTTAAATGTAAAATTTCACAATATAACTACTCCCTAATACAAAATTTTATTTATTTTATAAATATCCTTTTCATTACTAATTTTTTTTATGATAATCTATTTTGTAACAAATAGAAATAACTATTTTTCACTTAAGACATGTTCATAAATGTTTATAATATTTTTATAGTTCTTACATTTAAATGTTATCATCTTAGGGTTTATCCTTACTGTGTCTCATTTGTGAGCTGATATGTTATTTCAATCGTATAATATAAAATATTGATCTTACTCATACTAAACTTATATCATTGGAGCTGTCGACAATTATAGTATAAATTTAAAATATTGAATCTGAAAGACAATAAAGAGCCAACTATAAAACGCTAAAACTTCTCTTTTTCAGTAACTTGATATCTCCTTCTTTTGAACAAAAAAATACCTCTTTCTTCAATCAAAACTATTTCTCCATCATTATTATACGAAATAATGATCATTTTCCAACATCCAAAGTGAAAAAGTCAAATAAAGATTCTGAAACTATGAGTAACATGAATTTGTCAAGTGACACAATTTGACAATTTGTCAAGAGATCTAGTGAGATTATGCATCTCGTCATATCTTGTGATGACTATGCATCTTTTGGTCTCTTGAGACTCTATTAATTGGGTAAGTATCTTCTTCATTAGAGTTTTTTACTGCATTATTAATTTTAAATGTTTCAATGATTCTTACATTATTTTTTTTTTTAACAGTAATCAACCTAGCGAACTAAATCCAATAGAAACCTCAACAAAGACACTATAAATTGGTTCAACTTTCACTTGAAAAACACATGTGTGTGTTTGCCTCACAAATGCTTATGAATAATAACCGGTTGATACTTAAAAAAAAAAATTGATAACAATAATTAAATAATTTTTTTTGTGTGTTTTTGGGTTTATAACTCTTCTAATAAAATTTCAAATTGGATCTGGAGAGAAACCAAAGTCCAAAAACAATAGACTTAACACTTTCAAAGCATCCACGACGGCGGCTACACAAGAAGCCTCACCTGAGCCCAATCCAAAAATTGGTTTCATTGAAAAAGGGCCACACTTGTTTTTTTTTTTTATCATTCCCGTAGGTTTGTTTTTCAGTTTAGTTCGGTTTAGATTTTTAAAGAATTTGCTACGGTGAGCAATGCTTTGATGATTTAACGGAAAGTACTATTATAGATTGAGGAAAGAAAGATTCAAAAGCATAAATACAAAACTATTAATTAAAAATACTTTGATGGCTATTACATTATAAACCATCTCTTTTTTTTACTCATACAACAAACAAAGGGTATTTATAAGATTTTTGGACATCGTGAAAGATATATAGATGCAATTAGTGGTGATGTGTTTGTGCTACATTTATATTTTTTTTTAGAAAATTACAAACCGAGCCAAGAACATCGCTTCCTCGTATGCTTAGGTATTAACTTAGCTACCATCTTCATTAGCACACCTTTCAGCTCTGTATCCATGAAATTTTAAATTTTTTATTTGCTATTGTTTATTATATGAGTTTAGATTTGACAAAAAAATAAAAAAAAAATTATTTGCTGTTATTTATTATTTAGGTTTGAGTTTGGCAAAAAGTAAAATAAAGATATTATTTGGGCTTGAGTTTGACAAAAAATAAAATAAAGATTAATAAAAAAATATTTAGATTTTTAATGGGTTTAAGTTAAAAAATAATAAAAATCAATAGATAATTTGTATTAATTAAAATGTTTTGATTAGTTGTTAATTTTGCTGATGTGTCACTTTTTGATAACTTGAAAAAATTGAAGTGTCAAGTCATGGAGAGATATTAATGTTATTGTTGTGTTGATTACAGTGTTTTTTGTTTTAATTTTAATTTAATCTTCTAGTTAAAACAACTCCACGAGCTTTTTTTTGTTTTTGTTGCAAGAACTCTGCTTACTTTCTCAGAGCACCATTACTATGAGATATTGACTGACTGATTCTAATGCAGATTCTAATATTTCATGAAAAAATACATAACCCGATTGTAGACGAGACAGATTCCCTTACATGTAATATAAAATATGCTCCAATGTTGTCAATACAACAAATAGAAAATACATCAATCCAATTTCAAATTGCATATAAGCTTCGCTTAGGTCTGTTTGTGGTGCGCATGTGCGGCTTTGTAATGTTGGGAGAGGAGCGTCAAACATTTGATCGCTGGATATCTATTCATTAAACGCAAACATAAACATCATCTAAGACAATGTTATTGGTCGAATGTCATATATAATGTTAAAAAGGTGAAGATGTTAAATCCTTACTTGGGGAGGTTGTTTTCGGACTGGCATGTAGGAAGACACTCTATTACACAGTTGTGGCTCGGTTTCACGAAGAATGGAATCTGCGATGAGAAGAACACTTTGATTAAAATCAAATTGTTATGCAATTTTACGAATTCACTTACGAACATATTCAACAAAAACTAGATTTTTGAGAAAATAATATCAATGACATTTTACAACATGTAGCTGAAAATGGTTACTGTTTAGTAAGAGACTAACGGAATATCGGTCTTGCCCAGTTCCAAGTACCCTATGCAATGTAGATCTGTATAGTATAAAAAAATATGTGGAGAAAAATGTCATGAAAAACAATATTATAAAGCCTTACCAAAATTAAGCTCAAATAAACAGAAAAGTTACTTGAAATAGCCGTTACTCCAACGCTCCAGCAAATCACCAAGATTCACAATAAAGGCTCTGTAGACAATAACAAACCATATAACTCTACCAAAACAGAACAATATAATGTAACTGTTATGGGGGTCACTGATCAGTGTAGCATCTAAAATTTATGATGGACCCAAATTAAAAATCTAAAAACTCTCATAATAGTACCCTTTAATCGATGGTACATATTCCCATTTTTGAGGCTTCGAGTCTTTATCCTTGCATATCTACAATTAGATATTAAAAAGTCGCATTCAAAAAATTCAAAAATAATATGACTTAGGACTGCGTAATACCTGCAGTCCCATTACACGTCAGTTGCTAAGAGAGACATCATTCCAAAATCAGAATGTGCTCCACAAGCATATATTCCCTTTGAGGGATCAGAAAGCCCTAGAGTAACAAAAATAAGGAAGATGTGGTTAATATGATGATGAGTATACCATTGACAAACACAAAGCTAATGCGATTAATTAAGAAAAGACATTACCTTCATAGTGAAACAATACCATATCTGCTATTGGATTTCCGAGCATCTCTGGTGTATCAAAGTAATTCTCATCCAAGTCGAGCGCCAAAGCCATTATTCTCGCAATAGTCTTACAAACCCTCCTGACCATACATAATGGGCTCATCATAAGTATACAGTTTAAAACCTTTCTCTCTTAAGAGTCCCACATAAAAATAATGTTAGGCACGCCTTACTTAGTGTAAGAAATTAAAAATCATCAAATTAAGAATTCCAAACTACAAGTACATTATTATGTCAAAATTATGGATATTCATCTCAAATCAATAAAAACAATTACTGTAATATATCATTAACATTAAATATTTTATTAATGTTTTAGTTTATTCAATTTAAATAACATAATGATATTTTAATAATTTTGAGCAGACCTAGATTAAATCTGAACACCAGTGGATATTAGCAGATCTGAATACCTTGAAAATATGTTGTATCAGCTATGTACCACCTCTACAAATATGTTTTAGTTTATTCAATTTAAATAACATAATGATATTTTAATAATTTTGAGCAGACCTAGATTAAATCTGAACACCAGCGGATATTAGCAGATCTGAATACCTTGAAAATATGTTGTATCAGCTATGTACCACCTCTACAAATTATAGTTTATATTTTTGTTCAAAGAAAGAAAAACAATTTAGAGCGAGGAAATTTTTTAGCGAGTCGTTTGGCAAAATAATTTCATATATCAAAAGTTTGTAAACTAATCATTTCATCTATTTTTTGTCCATATAAACTTAAAAATTACGAAAATACCAGAATCACTCCTAAAATATCAGAGGATATAATTGTAAAAAACCACTTGAAAAATATTATTTTATAAATATTTTGATATAAGTGATTATTATGCCAAAATGCAAATTAGAAAGAGAGATATGTCAGGTTTATTAGAGATTTATTGGCGAAAAAGTGCCCACTTATTTTATTAGATACTTTTTGATTAATCATTGGTCAATAACAAAGTTTACCACCTAATTCCCTATTTACAAACTAAAGAAAATAAATAAACATGAGACTTACAATGCTTCTTGATAATATTTCTCCATGGTCTCCCGCCATCCGAGCAAAACATCTGCCAAAAACACCTGAGTTTATAAATAGAAAGGAAAAATTAAAGCAATAAAATACGAAAAATGATACGACAAAAAACTAACCATGATTAGGCCAAATGTTGGGGCTATAGAATGGCTTTTCTATATCCCAGTGGGTAACATCTTTGGGACCTTCGAATCCAATGGTAAAACCCACTTTGTAATCCCCTAAAACCCATGAAGTTACAACAAAAGTGAGATACATATCAATTTACATTTTTTAGACTAAGCAAGTGAAAGTTGATGAAACGAACCCTGAACTTGATTCTCAGGATCTAACATTTGATCAAGGACTGGTGAATAGCCTCGATACTTTTCGTTTCTAAAGACTTTCATCTTCTCTTCCAAAGGAAGAGCGAAGAACTTCTTGCTCTGCTCGAAAGCCTCGTCTTCCAGCTCCGCGCTTATACCATGATTTATGACGTAGAAAAATCCACAATCCTTACATGCCTGGATCATATATCATCCACAGCATATCAATGTTTATAATGATGATTTTATCATAAAAAAAATGTTTATATGTAATGATAACATTGTATTCATATTTGAGGCATACCTGCTTAAGCAAATCAGCTGTTTGATGAAGATTAGAGTTGGCGAGATCGATGCAATGAAGGGATGAAACTTCGATGGTCAAATTCACCGGATCAGTTTTATTCTCCATCACTCTCTTTCTCTATCTGTTAACTTTTTGAAGATAAAATGTAGAATGATGCCTCTTTCGTGATGCCACTGTTTATAGCATGGGGCACATGCATTATTATAAAACTAATTTTATCATATGCCAACATAAAAAAACGCAAGCATTATAATAATGATAAAAACCCTACAAATTGATCAATTAATTATGGATTAGTTAGATTGATGGATTTTTAGACGTTGATGCAAAAATAATCAGAAAAAATTATTCATTGTTCGTTAGTTGAGAAATAATTATATTAGTATATTAAAAGAAGGTAAACGATGATTTTTTTTTAATTTAAATACAAAATATAAGAAATTGACATATATAAAATAAAATTGAGAGGCTACATAGACGAACCATAAAAAAACAACGTTTTTAACTTTCTTCGATCTTTTCAGCGAGGCTTTAGCATTTTTGGAGGATTAAAGTATGGTTTATATATATGGATTAGTTAGATTGATGGATTTTTTTTTTTTTTGGTCAAAAGTTAGATTGATGGATTAATAAAAAATGGATTTGTTAGACTGATGGATTTTTTTTTTCTTTTTTGGTCAAGAATTAGATTGATGGATTGATAAAAGAGAAATTGGGTCATATGACCATATTTCTAAGCTAAATTCATGAAATAACTATAGTAAAATAGGTGCTATAATATTTTTTATATATTTTATAATATATACAAAATTATTCTTTTTATTTTTGTCTTAATTTCTTCCTTACGATCTTCTCTTCTCTTCTAATCATTTTTCCTTTCCTTTCCTCTGTTCACCTCCGCTCATCTCATCTCTCCTTCTCTCTTTCCCTCTCCTCGCCTCCCCTTTCCTCTTCTCCCCTCCTCTCTCGTGAAATTTTTCTCCTTTCCTCTATTTTTCTGTATATACTATATCAAAGAGATGACTATTTCATAAAATTATATATAGTATAGTATATAGTATAATATAGTAAAAAGTTATTTTCGATAATTGATTGTAGACCATGATTAGTTTACTAATTTGTAAAATAACATAGCTATATTCTTCTATTATTTTGTAAATATGGTTATTGATCAAAAAAGCCTTTGATAAAAAAGTTTGGACTGGGAATACTTTTTATTCTCATGCATTTCAAGCTTGTTGTTCTCAATTTGGGCTGGGGCAACTTTTTATTTAGGTGACTTTACAAAAGAGAGTATATAGCACGTGCCAGATGTAGTTATCCGGTGTGTGCTCCCCTGACAGGCCGTACATGTATTATTATCCGCAAACGCTTGTCTGCTCCACATTTTCAAATTTCAATTGGACAACTATTATCATTCCGTTGGAACCCAAATGATCACATGTTCAAGAAACATGAAATTAATAGTCTGAACCTTCCCGACAAAAAATAAATAATAGTATGTTCCTTGCGTAGATAGATTGTACATATACTGTATTTACTTTCAAGGTTTTGTTTTCTAGACGTCACTTCTGTTGGCCATCATTACCATCACATATTATTATGTTACTGAATCATATGTTTTAATCCGAATGATAACTGTGTTTTGTTGAATTGAAAAAGTGGATAATGGTAACTACGTTTTGCGGGATTAGAAAAACGGACTTTAAAGTGTGATACAGTTAAAACTATAGAATATGTATTATGCGAAACTAGTGTGGTTAATGTAAAAAGTACGGTGCAATAATTATACGGAACAAGTGCGGTTCATATTAAAAGTGTAGTGCAAAATAGTTTATGATTAATGAAAAAAATAATTAACGATACATACTAATTTTTAATTGGTGAAAAAATCGAGAAATGATGCAGAATTTGAAAAGTAAATAAATATTAATGTAAAAATATATTTGTATGATTATAAATTAAAATTATTTGTTTAGTCAAAAAAAATTCATATTTTTGTATAAATCTTAATTATCAAATTTATTTAAACTATACATATATTTGTATATTTTTGAATATTAATACATCAAATAATAAAACAGCAAATATAATACAATTAGAAAAAAAACTATCAATAGTTTGATTTTGTTATGATATATTTGCAATGTTGTATCCTATCTATGCCATATGTTCTCTATTTATTATTTCATCTGTTTATGTGACATTTGTTTCAGGTTCCAAATATGTGTTGTTTATTCATGTCTCTGTTATAACATATGTAATAAAATTATGTAATCCCATTATAGTGATTACCACTTTTTTTTGTACATTTATACCATATTTTTGAGAAATCAAAAAGAATTTTCTATTTTTTCTTCTAAATGATTTATCTATTACATGGTAAAATATTATAAAATCAAAAATAAAATATATTATCATAAAATTTAATATTTCAAAGTCTTCTTTATATATCACATATACAAAAATTTAATATTGAAAGTCAAAACCAAACATTCTTTATTTTATTTTGTAGTGTATATATATGTGAATGTTTTAATCCAATCAGTAGAATATATATTCATTTATAATTTAGTATAAGTACTGAATAATTTTTGATAAGAACTTTAGTAAATTTGTTTTTACATAAAAAATATAAATAAAAATTCTTACGATTAATTAAACCAAATAACATATAAAACTTTGTTTATATCCTGACAACTTATGTTATTTCTATGGTCCATATTTTTTTCACTCATCACAGTAGTATATATGAAGAATTAAATGTATTTCTAAAAGTAATAAAATTATACAGGTGGCTGCGTTTTTGTTTCTCCCACACTTCTGTAGGTGAGTATAAAATCTTTGTAAATGGATTTCACTTTCTTGACATATTGAAAACTAGAAGCAGATTTCATCTTTTTTTCTTTATTTTTTTATCTAATAATGCATAACATAGTAACTTCTCATTTTGATTGGTAACATAAAAACTTTTATTCACTGTAACTTTAAAATCCGCACCGCTTTATGGTCTTTATTCAAGGTAAATCTTTCTCATTTGCATGTTATTATGGTAAGAAATATTTACATCATTACTGTCACATATTATTAGATCATTTTCAATAATTTATTCTATTTTCTACTCTAAAAATAGAGAAGAATTTGCTCTAATAGTTATTTTTATTTTTTATTCTAAAACATATTTCAACTATCTTCTCATTTTGATTTAGTTATTTTTTAATAAACCTTTTTCTTTTCAAATTTACAAATTTGACCCATTTATATTATTTTTCTTTAAACAGAAAATTAATAAAATTACAATTTTATTAAAATGAAAAGTTTACCATGCAAATAAAAATTTAGTACATAACTAGGTATTATTTTTTTATAATTTTATTTAAATAGAAAAATAAAATATAGAATTTTTGTTTAGCTACAAAATAGAAATATATCAAAATTACAAGAGTATTTTATAAACATAAAATTTACTTCAAAAAATAGAAATCTCTATATTTAACTCTAAATTTGGAGTTACATATAGAAATCTCTATTTTTAAAGTAATGTTAGAGATGAGATTCGTACTGTCTCTAACAAGTCCGATATGAATTCTAGTCAGCCCGTCTAACAAGTTCAGGTCGGCAACATAAATGGAAATCTTCCATTTGTTGACGATCCGGAGAAAAAGGAAACTCCTTGCCGACAAGAGTTTCCTATTCGAAACAGGTTGAATACCGACCTGATCGGCTATAAATGCAGGAAGTCCTCGACTCCTCAAAGCATCCAAAAATAATCAATCGACCTAGAGCAAAACTTAGCGATCAGACTGTTCTAGTTCTTGATTTATTTCCTTAAACAGTTTTAGGTCGGCGTTCTTATTCCGACGACCTAAACACCGTTGTATTCAACCAAGCTCCGGCTTCTCCTAATAAAAAGATCTCTTTGAAACCCTCGAACCCTAGTTCTTTCGTAGATCGAACTTGAGTTTTCACAGTTGGCGCCGTCTGAGGGGACTAAAAGAGCAATCTTTGACTTAGAACGGAGTTGGAAGATGGTTGAAACACCGATCAGCACTACCGACCTCACCGGAGGAGCCTCCGATCCGACAAGAAACATTCAAGATCCGATCGTCGACCCAGCCGCGAGGCTTGCGGTGGCTCACCAGACCGATCAGGAAGACAACATAACTACCGCACAGAACACCGAGGGAACAGACCAGGTCGGTCAGACGGGTGGCACAAACACGACCAGCCTGCCACAGCCACCTCCCATCGACATGGCCACAATCATCAGGTCGGTTGCAGCACAGTTGCAACAGGGGATGGATGCTCGCTTCGAGTCCCTCCGAGCCGAGCAGATAGCTTACAGAGAAGACTTGGATCGGCTTATAAACTCTCGGGTTCATACCCAAGAGCAGGCCGATCTTATCACTCTCCCTCGCCCTTCGATCCGCAACACAGATACGACCAGGCTGGTCAACAACTTGTTTGGCACGACACCGACGGACGACTTACGGAGAGCACAGGCAGATGGCTCGCATGCCCGCTCATCTCGCAACACCGCAGGAACCGACCCGACGACAACCTCGGAACTCGATCTGCTCCACCAACGCCTTGATGATATCCACAGCAAGATCCACAAGGCGACGACTTCAGCGCCCGAATTGGATAAGATCCTTCAGGAGACACATCAAACTCCGTTCACGTCGGGTATCACCAATGCTCCTCTTAAGGACATAAGTCGGATGAAGCTACCTCCGAGTTACTCCGACACGACAGACCCGAAGCGACACCTGACCGCGTTCAATGCAGTCATGGGACGTGCTCGCTTCACCGATGAGGAACGGGAAGCATGCCTCTGTCAATATTTTGTGGAGACGCTCTCTGGGAGCGCCCTCACTTGGTTCTCACAGCTTCCCAAGAACTCTATCGACAGCTTCAAGGAGCTCACAGCTCGGTTCCTGAAGCATAATTCGATTTACATCGACACGGAGTCCACAACGCTCGATCTATGGGCATGCGTCCAGGGCGACACGGAACCGCTGCGCGATTTTATCGATCGATTCCGATCAATCGTCTCCCAGTGCAGTCTGTCGGACGAACTGTGTTTCAATATTCTTATCAAGAATTTAAAGGATGATTCATCGTTTTGTGAACGATTGAAGACAGGAAAAACCAAAACCCTCGAAGATGTTTTGCACAAGGCATCCGAGTACATCAGAG